GACTATATGACAATGAGTCTGAGTTTTTGCCATTGTTTGGTTAAACTTAGGATTCTGCTGGGGCCATGGACATCAAAGGCGATTTTATCTACTTAAAAAAACCTTTTTTTAAAAATTTTATCTACTTTGAAAACACTCTGAGATTTAAATTAGCAACGTTAAACTAGTTCAGCTTTTAGCAAAACATATTTCTAATTTATATAATATTGAACTTTTTATTGTATTTTAAGTGAACGTTTACACGGTAAATTAGTTTCCCATTCAACGTCAACCAACACACATGTTGTTCCCTAATGGCATTTGCTACCCGCCCCGCCTCTCATCCCCGCCCCCACCGCCCACCTGTGTCCACACTCTTCCTCCCCGTTCCCAGCCTGCCTTCCCCATCTCTGCCCACCTTGTCTTCTCATCTGTGCCTTTGGGCTCACGTTTCCCCCTTTGGCCTCTTGTTGTTACGCTGTTCTAAGGGCTCAGTCCTCAAGGGTGTTGTGATTAATTTTACTGGCCAATCTGCTATGTGGCAGGGATCTGCCATCGGGGTGAAGCTGTATTTTCTGGGGTGATAGTCTCGGGGGTTCCCCCACTCGCTTATCAGTGTAGCTAGTCTGGTCTTGTTTGTGAACTTGGATTTTATTCTACACCTTTTCCTTGGAGTTTGTTTTTAAAAATTAACGTTTATTTCTGAAAAACACTTGCATTTATCTTCAATGTTAAGGTTTATTAATGAATTAAAGATTTGTTTTAGGATAGAAATTACTGACACCTTGGAAATTTGCTTTGATACAGTTTGAAGTACCTTGTATTAGTCTTTCCTGAAATCTCACTGAAAGTACTTTCAGTTTTCTTACCATACAGTCCTAATGCAGTAGTCTTATAGCCTCCAAGCCCCACAAGCCGTGTGGCACACGCATTGGCACAGTCTAGGGGTTCAAGCTGCATAAACTTTCCAGCCTGTTTCTTCATTTGGAGGACATGTGATAAGGAGATCTCTAGGATCCCTTCTGTTTGGAACCTGCCCTAAACAGTGTGTGTGTGTGTGTGTGTGTGTGTGTGTGTGTGTGTAATTCCCGCCTTGTACTTTAAGTGATCTTAGGGATAAAGTTAATTTCATTTTCTTAGGTTCTGTAAGGATTTAATTGCTTGTTTAATTAGCATTTTAAAATATTTATTAAAAATGTAATTGGGGAAATATGTGCTTTATAAATGGCACTTATTTGAGTAAACTTTGTTAGGAAGAGTGATTAATATAGCTCCTTTCTCTCCCCTTTCTCAGATCACACCCTTTATATCTGAAATAAGAACCCATTAATTATTTGAAGCCAAATGAGTGCTTTCAGAGAGTGGGCTTTTCCTGATTAACAGGTGCTCTTTTCTCAGACAGTGCGCGCACAGCACCTAGAGTATCGGGAAAAACGTGTACAGAGGTGTTGGCCAGCAGGGCAGGGGGGCCACTCAGTTGTCCTCAGAATTTATCTTGGATAGCGTGTGTTTCTCAGGAGAGTGCTAGTGTATAACCTTTTTTTTTTTTTTTTTTTTTATTTGTGGTTTCAATGGTGGGCCTTTGTGTTAGTCTAGGTAGACTAGAGAAACAACTCCAGAGAGACTCATATGTGTGTAAGAGAGAACTTTATATATCATACATTAAGAACACTTCCCAGCCCACTCCAGACCAAGTCCATACGTCTGATACTCGCCCATACATCCAATAGTAGTCCATTAATTCTACAATGCAGCACAGGCAATGATACCGAAAGCAGGAAGATCACAGGCCAGTGGGTGAAAAGTCTTGTGGAAGCATCTCAGCACTGGTGTGGGTCTCCATGTGGCTCCTCCAGTTCCGGGGCTTTGGCTCCATCAGTGTAGCTCCAGGTGGCTTGTGAGCAGGAAATCGAAGCAGAGTGTGGGTCCGGCTTCCCAGGAGGAAGACAGGCGTTCCCAAAATCCTTTGTAGAAGGCCATGCCCACAAAGAGGCCTCATTGACTGTGACCTGATTGACAGACTAGACTCCACCCCTTTGCAAGCTGACAGATTATGTGACTGCCCCATTCCTTCAAACCCCCCAAATTAGGCTCCACAATATTCTCTGATATTGAGTGATGCTGTGCGCTAAAGAGTATTTGGTAAGCAGATCTGCAGAGCTGTAATACTTTGTAGCTCATTGAAAAGCTCTTCTTTCAGTGTTAGATGAAAAATGAACACATATTTCCTTCTTGCTGCATTTAGATGCATTCAGCAAGGCAAGGGGCTTTATTTCTATTCATAACTTTTATTAAAAATTAGAATATGTTTTTTGCATGTTTCAAAAGAATAAGAAATGAACCACACGGTCTGAATATTGTAGAACATTCACTAGTGTAAATAATAATTACAGCCATTAATAGTCTCCCTAGCTGTCGCCACTGAGCTAGGTTCAGAAACGCATTATGGCATGGGAAATTGGGCAGCAGTGGTGACTCCCGGGGTTTCTGTAGGTGACCGGCTGATTGGCCTCTATGTCCTTCCGCTGCCCTGCCCCTTACTCCAGACGGATAGCAGTGTGTCCCGGAGGGTGGAGGTCATCAAGCAGTAGGACCAGCCTCCAAGACTGAGGATGGGAGGGTGCGTGTTTACGCCAGCCTGAAAGTAAACATCACTCCATGCAGCTTCGGGTGACGCGGGAGTTGGAGAACTCGTAGCTAGAAGTTGTCAGAAGAAAACCTTGCATGGATGACACTGGTCTATGAGAGTAGCTTTCCAATGTCAGCCAACGAAGACAGCCCGAAAACCAATTTCAACCTGCCTTCTAACTGTGCTCTGCCTTTCTTTGATTGATGGAATTCTTTTCTTTTTAAACAGAATTGATAAAAAAATGTCCGGAGGCCAGAGTGGGTATGAACTTAGCGAAGCCAAGGCCATCCTGACGGAGCTGAAGTCTATCCGGAAGGCCATCAGCTCAGGAGAGAAGGAAAAACAAGACCTGATGCAGGTATGGGACAGGGCGTTTGTGGGGCGCTCCTACCTTTACCAAGCATGGCATCCTCCCCCAGGGACTGGCCCCGTTTGCCAGGGGTTGCCCCTTCACGAGTGTGTCGGAGGGAACCAGTCAACCGGCCTGTGGGAAATAGATTGGCTCCAAGGCTCTGACGGTAGGATTTCTATGTCCTTTTAGCCAAAAGATGGTGGATCCTGGAGCCAGTGGTTGGAGATTAGCACACTGGTGTGCCTTGGCACCTTTTGTGTGGGATATAGAGAATCAGTGATGATTCTCAACCTAGACCTTATGGCATAGTGGTTATGCACCGGGCTGTTAACCACAAGGTCAGCAGTTTGAAACCACCAGCCACCACTCAGAGAAAGACGAGGCTTTCCACTCCTGTCAAGGGACAGTCTACCCTGTCCTATAGGGTGGCTGCGAGTCAGAATTGACTGAAGGACAGTGAGTTTGATTTTGGTTTTGAGGGTCAGTCATCAACAGTGCGCAGAGGGTGTGCCTAGGAGAGAGGAGTCAGGTAATGTGGGGAGCTTACAAATCCTCCTCCGCCCCAGTGGTTCTGAGGTGCTAGCTAGGGGTGATTTGGCTGTTTTCCTAGCCAAACTCAACTCTGCCATCCAGTCGATTCTGACTCATGGGGACCCTATACGACAGGGTAGAAGTAGAGTCGCCCACGTAATCACTTTAGGAAATGGCAGCAGATCTCCTAGTTTTACAAGTTGCACTGCTAATGACAGGGTGAGCAGTTTGAAACCACCAGGTGCTCCTCAGAAGAAAGGTGAGGCTTTCTGCTCCCAGGGAGGACTACGGTCTCAGAAACCCACCGGGGCAGTTCTAGTCCGACAGGGTTGCTGTGAGTCAGATCTGGTTCCGTGGCAGTGAGGTTTTTTGTTTTGTTTTGAGTTCTCAATCCCTGGGTCGTGGCAGCTCCATTGTGTGTCGTATAACGCAGAGCAGCCCTACAGAGATCAGGATCCTGATTTTGAATATTTGTACTTAGCAGATTAAATGTATCACCTTTTTAAAGTTTTTTGTAGTTGTTTTTGTTTCTAAGGTTGTATCCCCATCTCTTTTTCCTTCGCTCCAGCCCATAATTCTTGCCAGCCTCCAAGTATCATCCTTGCTTTTCAACACACTCCACAAGTCTTGTGTAGCAGATTTACCCAAGTTTACATTGGAAACATCCAATTCAGTAAGATTATACATAGCATTATTTGATTCTTCCTTGTAAACTTTGGCTTCACACACAGAATAAACTCTACAAGTAATCCCTCCTTAGTTACTAAATTATATAGAACAATTAAATAGTAGATACAGAGAAAGTAAAGGTAAAGGGGGGGAGACATTGTGTGTCTTTTATGACTTATAACTTCTCTGGCCACAGCCCTCAGTATGAAATATATTCTACACCAAAACTTAACAGCACACAAATGCATGTACCCAAGGAGCTTGAATGGTGCTTGTTGGTAGGTATTGGACTGCTAACCAGAAAATCAGTGGTTCAAACCCCCAGCTGCTCTGCTGGAGAAGGTTGAGGCTCTTTGCAGCGATAAAGATGTACAGCCTCACAGGCCCCGGTCGGCGTCCTTATGAGTTGGAATCACCCCGGTGACTGGGTTTGGTTTGGGTGCCTCACAGATGCACATACTCACGTAACAAGAAGAGTTTTCATTAAAATATGCCTTCTGTCAATAATCAGAGGATGTGATTTTATTTTCTAAGCTCTTCTAGCCCATCTAAGCACATGCCAGTGTCGGTTCAGTGCATTGCTGCTGTAGGTGGGTTGGAAACACTAAGACCGCTCAGCTGGTCCAAAGGTGCTCTGGCAGCACCGCAGATTCTTTGTCCGGCTGCCAACTCCCAGGTCGGGGTGAGGCTACAAAGACTTACAGCCGTGGAAACCCAAAGGGAAGTTTTACTCAGTCCCAGAGGGCTGCTTTGAGTTAGAATCAATTTGATGGCAGAAATTTTGACATTTGGGTGTTTTTTTCTCTTTGAGTAATTTAGTCCATCCTTCTCACTTAACAGGTGAGAAAATAGAAAAGATTTGTCAGGGCAACCAAAATTTTTCTCTGTTCTTTTCTAGAACCTGTTATTTGACGTGAACATTTTTTGGGTACTATTAAAAACTAATTCATCTTTCTGTGTGTTTACATTTTATATAAATATTCCTTTGAAAGAAAAAATAGAAACACCAAAAACAAACGCTGGTTTTTTGGTATTTAAAATCCCATATTGTGAGCATCCCCGGGCGAAAGACAAGGCTCTCTACTCCCGTAAAGAGTTATAGTCTTGGAAACCCACAGGGGTAGTGGATTGTGAGGATTTCAAATACCAGGACTCATAAAGGTGACAATTAGTGGATTTATTATCATAATTGAGGGCTTTTGTTTTTGTTTTCAGTAACTTAGATGTGATTTTATACTTGTTCACATCCTTCCTCTAAGACTCCAATGTGCTAAACGTGGTTGCAAACAGCAGGGACCGTAGTTGTTGATGGTTGGCTTCATTGAAGCAGACCTGCTGTTGTGACCATGCCGGGCATCAGCGACATAGCGCCTCAGCGCCAGGCCAGTGCTCATTACCACCTTGGCATCTGGGCCCTGGTCTCCTCATATCTGGCATTGGTGTGTGTGTGGCTAGGCCTGTCCGGCTATACAATGGCATGACTGGTAAATGTCTTCCAAGCAGGGTGTTTTGTTGATCCATCTAATAAGAGATTGCACACACATATGGGTCTTTATAATGCTCACTGCATAAAGTCCATTGTTTCTGCTAAGATAGAGATTTCTTCTCAGTGAAATTTTGAAAATAACCAATGCGTGTGTTAAATACAAAGAAACAGTGTTCACGGGGAAATGCGTTCCTGGAAAGGATAAGGTGACCTCTTTCCTAGCTTGACACGGGTTTCCAAAGCCCCGTGCACATGCGCAGAACGAACTACATTCTGCCCTTGCCGTGGTGGGATTTTTCCTTCAGTAATTTAAAATGACAAGTGCCTACTCAAAGTAAATCTTTCTTCTATTTAAATTTTCCTAATTTTTGCCTGGTGGGAAAGGGTTGCCCTCTTGAATTGTGTAAGCCTTATGAAATGCTTTGTGGTTCCTGAACAGAGCCTTGCAAAGCTGCAGGAGCGGTTTCATCTGGATCAGAGCATCGGCAGATCTGAGCCAGACTTGAGCTCCAGCCCTGTGAACTCTCATTTGTCTCTCTCCAGACAAACCCTCGATGCTGGGTCACAGACCAGCATTTCCGGAGAGGTAAGTGCTGCACGTGGAAGGGCTGGCCTCAGGGGTGTCCTTGAAGGGCCTTCATGACGACAGGGGTGGCAGAGTGGAGC